CAAAGCTCGTGGAGGTACAGCAGTTTTAATCAAAAACCGTCTAAAACATTACGCAATTGAAGAATTCGCTAAGGATTATTTGCAAGCCACGTCCATAAGTCTTAAATGTTGGAACGAAGATATAGTGATATCGTCAGTTTACTGTCCACCCAGGTTTAATGTAACTCATATGCAATTTATCGAATTTTTTAAAACACTTGGCAAAAAGTTTATAGCTGCAGGCGATTATAATGTTAAACACACTCACTGGGGCTCACGGCTTATTAATCCTAAAGGCAAAAACCTCTACTTAGCGCTATCAAATCGCCAATTAAACCTTGATTTTACCTCTTCAGGCCAACCCACCTATTGGCTCCCAGACTCATGGAAAATTCCTGATCTAATTGATTTTGGTGTTGTCAGAAGCATAGACCGAAACCTTATAAATTCTCAAACTTGTTGTGAATTGTCTTCTGATCACTCGCCTGTCCTGATAACTGTTTCAAATAAAGCACTCTGCTACGGGAAATCATTTAAGCTTACCTCCAAACAAACTAACTGGATTAAATTCCGAAAATACATTAGCTGTCACATAAACTTAAAACCCAAGCTCAGAAGTGAAACAGATATAGATTTAGCCTTGTATGATCTTACGACTGTTGTGACCGCAGTTGCAGTGCACACAAAGCCCATCAAGCATGACCCCGACACAAAGCCTCCAAAAAGGACATCTGCTCTTATTGATAAACTTTTAAAAGAAAAACGCCGCCTACGAAGGGAATGGCAAAGAACTAGATCTCCATCCGCAAAGAAAATCTTTAATCAAGCAGTTAAGCTATTAAAAGAAACTTTAGATAAAGAACTGCATGAAAATATATTGAAATTTATGGAAAACCTCTCTGCAAACGTCATTTCAAAATTAATGCCAGCATTAGAAATGTGGAAAGTGCTCCGAATTCAATAAAAGTCAGTGCTAATGATGTCCAGAAAATTATTGGCCAGCTTCAAATAAAAAAAGCTCCTGGTCATGACTTAATAAGCAATGAAATGATATCTCAGCTTCCGGATATTGCTGTAAGAATGTTTTCTTTTTTTATGCAACGCGATGTTTAGAGTTGGATATTTTCCTTTCGCTTGGAAAACGTCTCAAAGCACAATGATTGCAAAACCTGGCAAGGACGTAACACGTAACCAGACCAATTAGCTTACTGCCAACCCTTTCAAAGCTATTTGAGAAATTATTGTTAACAAAGCTTCTCCCGTTCATTAATGAAAATAACATCATTTCTACTCACCAATTTGGTTTCCGGCATAAACACAGCTCAATTGAGCAAGTTCACCCAGTGGCAAATGAAATTAGAAAGGCCTATGAAGAAGGAAAATACTGTTCTGCCCTATTTCTTGACATTGCACAAGCTTTTGACAAAGTAGGCACGAAGGCCTAATCTTTAAAATTAGGCAAATTTAACCAGCTTCTTTCCATAAACTATTAATTTCATACCTAATTATACGAAAATTCAAGGTAAAACTCAAGGATACAACCACAGATGAGATTGAAGAGAATGCTGGAGTCCCGCAGGGCAGCGTTCTTGGATCGGTTTTATACCTCATATTTACATCGGATTTGCCGACTAGTCAAAAAATAACAACATCTACGTTTGCAGACGATACTTGTCTTCTCAGCGTTCATTAAAATTCTTTCACCGCTTCCCGGAACTACAGGCTCAGCTCAAGGACGTCCAAAACTGGCTAAACGACTGTCGCATTCGCGTAAATGAACAAAAAAGTACATACATAACCTTTATACTTAGAAAAGATACTTGTCCGCCCGTAACTCTAAATAACGTTATTATACCAGCATCCCAAAGCGTTACATATCTTGGTATTCATTTAGACCGACGATTGACATGGAGACAACACATAGCCGCAAAACAAATACAAATAAAACTAAGGTTTCTTAAATTGTATTGGTTACTCAATAAAAATTCAAGATTACAGCTTGCACACGAAGTCCTGATATATAAAACTATGATTAAGCCTATATGGACATACGGGGCCCAACTCTGGGGTAAATCCAGCGCGTCAAATATAGATGTTATACAGAGCATTCAGTCAAAAATATTTCGTTCAATAACAGGAGCAGCCTGGTTCCTCAGAAATTCCGTCATACATATGGACCTTCATGTACCTCTAGTCAAACGGCCATATTGTTTTTTCTCTCATTCTCAAATTTAAAGTTTGCATTGAAAACAACAACAATTATAGGTATTTTCGGTGGCTCGCAAGTGTGGCAAAAAATGCATGCAGACCTATATTCGCTAAGTGAGAGATTGACATCACTGTTTTCAGTTGTTCGTAAGTATGGCAAAAAATAGCAAATTGCTGGACTATACTGGTTGATAAGTACGGAAAACAATTATACTATTTTCTCTATCTAGGCCAGTGATTCTGAAGTGGCCAAACACTTCGGCTTGAAAACAGAAAACTTTTACCAACGTAATCATAGAACTATTGTGAACCTTCACGGGAAATTTCAACGAATATGCAATCATATGTCAAAAATCATATGTAAACTAAAATTCAAACAAAGTTCAAAAATTTCATAAATTTGAAAATTGGGGAAAAAAAATTTTAGTGTTTTATTTTGAAATTTCCAACATTTTTACCATTCCTTTTAATTTTATATTTATTTTAAATTTTATTGTATATTAATTATTTATTTTTATAAAAAATGTAATTTTTTGCATTATGTGCACATATGCAAGATTTGGTATTTGCCAAAACATAATAGTTGACAGATTGCAACCGTGATGCCAATGTCTCGATTAGCGTGATCAGCATGCATTTTTTGCTATACTTGCGAGTCACCGAAGATGCCTATTGGTAAATTGCTTTCATATTTAGACACGCGTAAATTGGTACAAGTATGTAGTAAAAATATTAGTGGAATCGCGAAGCGATGTTCCTGAATAAATTGTTAAGTTTATTAACTTGTTAGAAGAGATCTTTGACAAGGAAAAAGTTAAAATGTCCAAAAAAGCAAAAATAAGACGTTTTTCTTGATTATTTTTTGAATAAAATAATATGTTTTTAATGGATACGTACAAAGTTCCCAGTAAAATTCAAAAAAAAAACAGGTAAAACAAAAAAAAAATAGTTTAATGTCTCTATAACGAAGTTGTTAGCAGATACCATCGATTTCATTATAGAGAGGTTTGACTGTACTTGGTATTTTCAAATTTTGCCTGCAAATAAAAATTTGTTTATGTATTGACATATAAAAGTGAATGAAAAAATATTTCCAAAGTCTAGTCCGATTAGATGCTCGGCAAATATATCAAAGCAATGCTCACAAATATTTGAAAAAAGAATCGGATTAAAGAATAATCTTAACCCATTCACTGCGATGGTTCTCTACGCAAATTTCACATTTTCTTGTTCGTAAAACAGTTTTCTAACAGATAATAAATGACGCTGAACAGGGTAAAAATATGTTTCCGTCGGACGTAAGTAAAAATTACGCATATTGTTAGGCTTTTTTTTGACAAAACTTATATATATTATGAAAATAAATAAATCAAGCTTTAATAAGACACATATTTCGATTTAAAAAATCGTAGTATAATTTCTCAATGGTACCATCGCAGCGATCCGTTATAAAACACGAAAACAAATAATGTTCCAATAATGTTCTATGCAAACAATCTTACTGGAATTGTGATAGTTATTATTACAATGAAATGATCGCGATGGCTATGTCTCGCGATCGATTTCATCAAGTCAAACGTTGCATTCCTTTTGCACTCGTTTAATAAAATGTAGAAATTGCGAACACTTACTGAATAACTTAATCGACCATATTTGGTTGAAAAATACAATCAATATATGAGTGGTATAGATCGAATGAATCAAAATATTGCATATCATAGCAGTGGTAAATTGTCTATTCATATCTCAACTTCGATGCAATTAAAAAAATATATAAAAATTGTATTGATTTTAACTGGTACGCAAAAAGAAATGGTGGTGGTCGATATGGCTGTTGAAAATTTTAGATACAAAATGCTTAGTTGTTACAAAGAAAAACTGGTTATAACACATAACATTTGCAGTTTCGGCGAAACATCACAATACATTATTGCAATACTGTATCGATCTGTGTGCAAAGTAAAGTTGTGCCGCTTCAAACGATTCCAGTGAATGATCGTTGTGATGGACGAGACCATTATCCGTGTGGAAGCACTAAAAGATGATGCCAAGAGCCTAACTGCAACAATTGGTGGTTAGTGAAGTTCAAAAATTAGCATATCTTTGATCAAGATCTATAAAAATACAAATCCTAATATTTTTACTTATTTAGATCATATTTTATTATTTTCAATAATTTCATATATTTTTTAAAGTGTTGTTTTTATTTTCTTTTTAAATATATATATTTTCTATTCAAAATCAAAGCATATTTAATTCAAGTCATTAATTCATGTACCGCCTCATATTAGGTTAACGGTAAATCGTACATTTTTTTCTTCTTAAAAAAATCGAAAAAAATGTATTATCGCAGCGAGTGGGTTAAATCATTACAAATGAAAGCGAAATAATAATATTGCCACACATTCACAAAAAAAAAAAAAAAAACGGGGAAACGTAATGCTTCTATGCAAAATATTATTTTTAGTTGCTTTGACTAAAATAAACTAAACAAGTAGTATAATTAAAGAAAAAGTGAGAAATCTTATTAAGCACAGCACCGCATGCAAGAAGATAAAGTTTCGTAGAATTTGTGGTTGCCATAGAGATGCCAATTGCTGACAATATTCTTCACACGGCTTTTATATGCGTTGATAGCTTCACGTAACCAACCCCAAAAATGATTTGAGATGTCGGTAATTGTGGTTTATTATATTATATTTATTATATATAGTCAAACAAAAAAATGAATTTTATTAGTATTTTACATTACAAACTATTTATACAGATACTAATAATTAGAACAAATATTAAAAATTTTATTTTTACTCAATTATTTAAATTTTGTCCCAGACTCATTAACATAGTACAAACGAACTTTAGTCAAATAATACTTCAACATTTTACAAGTTTTTATTGAAATAATACCTTGCCCTATAACTAAGTACACTACTCAGACTAATGTACTCACTTCAATATATCCGTAATTAGTGTGTGTAGTTTTACCTTATCACTAGATTATTCTAAATTAAATATTGAACCTCGCGCTTACGTTATCATTTGGGTTTCTTTTTTGGTGATCAACTACGACTAAAAATTTTATTATGTTTTGTTTTTTTAAAATGCCGTGATGATCGTAGGTGAGAGTTTCTACAGTTTCACCATTTTCGTTAAATTCGTAAGACTTGCATTCGTGTAGTGGACAGCAATCGGGGTAATCAAGAAACTCATTAGGAGGTGGCAGTTGACTGCAAGTACCAGGTAAATGTGGTATTTGGCAACTGAAAAATATGAAGCAAAATGTAAATTTGAAAGTTCCAGTTATAACTGCGACATTTGGTATATGTATATAGATTTAAATCACTATTCATATCACTAACCTTATCTGTAATTCATTGCTTTTTAATTAAATTGAACATTTTTAAGCGCTAATTCAAATTAATAGGAGACCAAACAGTTTCTTTGAATTTTAAACCACTTATTCTTATAAAATTTATGCTGCACGCAATTAATGTTAACATAAATAATAAACAATACTTTTTTTAAAATCAAAACAAAATTTAATCTCAATATTTTTGTGCTGTGTGATTTGATCATGGTTTTTCTTATAATTAATTTTTATTTTCTTTAACAGCTTGTGACGTAGGCCTGTACTACGCCACTTTAGGCGAAGTTCATTATTAACCTTGCTTTTGGCGGAGTTTTTATGCATGTAGATAATAAAGCGTATAATTAACTGTTACTGTTTATTGATTGTTATGGGATTAGAAAAAATAAAAAGATTCTTAAAATTCTTAAAGCTTTGAAATCGCGAAACTGTAATTCTAAACAAATTTTTAAAATATTTGTGGAATTTCTCTACAAAAAATTATTATGAATAATTGTCAGTTAATCTAACTGTTATAAATTCATCAAATTTTAATAATTCTTACCTATCTTCCCATATTTCCAAAGTACCTAGGCATTGTGCTCGTATGCACCGACCTCTGCGTTGGATCACATCTCCAATTAAGAGTTCTTGTTTGGTTTCAGAATCAGTGCATTTCTGATAATAAGAGCTTCCTTAATTAATCAAAAATTGCTGAACGTTTACAAAAAATAAAATAAACTATGTAATTTGTTTCATTTTTTACCTTGGTAAGGCAGTCCTACTAATTGCTGCCAAAACACAATTTCACAGAAAATAAGGTAATAAAACTTAATTGTGCAAATGTTGAAAGAACGCATTCCTTCTCCGCACTTCATAGTACATAAAATATATGCCACGATATAAATTCAAATTTTTCAGTATTTATTCTTACAATATTCCATTAAGGACTGAGCACGAATGAATTGTTTTTGAGTTTCACAAGTCAAGCGCTTGCATTTTTGTATGCGAACTTTTTTTAGAAATCTTTTGATTTGTATTTAATATTCAATATTGTATGGGGCAAAAATTGTAGTCACCGCTAAAAGATGTCATAGACGTTTAAAGTTCTTATCAATTCATTGAACAAATGTGTATATATGTACATACATATTCGTTATATATACACAGATATTAATATACACACATATTCATGTTTTTAGATCGAATAAGTATTTTAATTGCTATTTTAATTTAGCTGACATAAAGTTTTGATTTTCAAGTCATGCCTATAATTTATATTACGGAATATTAGTAAGGCAAGATTTAATTAATTTTTCTACTGGATTGCTTTCACTGATATTTTTAAGTTTATTTTAATAAAATATAGAAAACTTCTAACAGATTTTCTTAGTCTATAACGTTATGGCATTAAATTATTACTCATCTGACATTGCCACTGGAACTCTTTCGAAGCGAATAGTTTTGCATTCTCCAAGACTGGTAGGCACATTCACTCTTTATTTAAGACCCTGCGTACACTAGCGTCGAAAACATTTCGCGTCGCCATACTGCTTTGAATCGCGTTACATTATATTGAAAAGTGCATATTAACCAGTGAAGGCGGTGTGCGTATTTGCATGCATTTCTTACTGCAGGGAAGTAAGTTTAGAAAATCTTTATCGAGCTACAGTATAAAGAATATCTGACGTTAAAATATAATTAATCAGTATATTATTATTGAAACAAATTAAATACTCAATGGTTTTGCAAGCTTGTATTGTTAAAAAAGAAAAGATAAAGTAAAAAATGAGAGTGAATTGTGTTACTTCTTAAGCCAGATTACTGACGCGAGAGTCAGCAAACATAGAAACATGAAACCAATTATTAACTCGTTTCACTCCACAAATAATCTATTTTCTGCAAATAAAAGCAACGTCACCGAAATTACTAACAAATGAAACAAAAACTTCAGATCACGCAAGTACCAACACCTCACTGCCATTACATACTCTTTACCGGATTAACAACAGCAACATACTCAACAACTGTGGCCTCAACAGCTATGACAACAACAGTTCATGTATGCAGATAACACAAAATACTTTACGGTATTTTTCGTTAATTAAACTATTAGCACAAAACCATGCCGTGAGAGATGAAAGACAAGACAATACTGAAAAATTAAAACATTACTATCACAGAAATAAATCAATATTGCACTCTATATACATATGTGTATAATGTACCATATTAGGTTGTTCGGAAAGTAATTTCTTTTTCTTTGTGGAAATAAAAGCCATTTTTAGCTGGCAAAAAAGTGATCGAGGTGGTTTTTGACCTACTCATTTGAGGTGAAGGTTTTAACGCGTAAAAAATTGTTGAGTGACGGGAACAAATAATAATCCTATGGTGCCAGGTCTGGAGAATATAGTGGGTCTGCATCCAATTCAAGCTGTAAAAGCTTTTGGTGAGTGACCAAAGTTGTGTAAGGTTTCGCGTTGTCTTGGTGAAACACTGCACCTTTCCTGTTGATTAGTTCTGGACGTTTCTGTTGAAGTGCATCATTCAGTTGAACTTATAACTTGGATATATAATTACAATAAATAAAGAAATATATTTAAATAATAATATTAATAATATATGAATAATAATTACATAGTTTATTTACTATTTATATATTTCCTTTATTTAGTAGTTAATATTAATTTTTATTAAAACAGAAAATATGAATATTAAAAATCATCACCTTTCATTTATGAATTGAATGAACCACTTTTTTAACGTAGCAGCGAACACCCACACGCACTCCGCAACGAGATGCAAGCAGCTAGGCAAGAAATGCATTAACTGTGTACGCATGAAGAATTACACTGGTGCGGTTGTGCGTACGACTAATAAAGTGAAGGTAATTTCATATAAATAGACGACTAATTTATATCAAAGATCACTTAGCGCCAGTACACCGAAGTGAGTAGACACCCACATCATCGCCAAGTCGCTATTCACGCCAGTAGTAGTATCATTACATTATTATAGTTATAACGCCCAGGCATTTTAGCCATAGCTATACATTGTATTATTATGTTTATAACGCCACATGGCATTTTGACGGCATAGGCTAGAATTTTTGTATCATAGAATATAACGTCGCCGGCTTTTGATGCAATTGACTACAACCTATTGTAACCGTTAAAATTTCCACTGACTTGAATCTTTTTTTTACCTAATATTATAAATGTTATAACAAAGACATTCATTTTTGAACTAAAAAAACCAACATCTTTACTTTCTCCTTGGACTTTTATTAGCTTTAAAACTAGTCAATAAAACAAATTTATTGCAACGACCCGGAGTAACTGAGTGATACCTCAGCAAAATTAAACGACGATTCTTCGTTACAAGTCCATGCAAATCATTTTTCTTCTCGTATGTGTGGTTTCCATGTAAATTTTTTGTCAAGTAAAATTCCCAGATATTTTACTTTTTCTTTCCATTCTATTTCTCTGTTGTTAACCCTTAGTTTTTGGGGGTTTTGAAACTCCCTCCTTGTTATGAAAATTGCTTGTTTTTCGACGTTTATTTTGGTTTTCCATCTTTTGAAGTACTTTTCCAATTCCTCTATGTGTCCTTGCAGATTTCTTGTGATCTGTGTCTCTTTTTTACTGGAATACATAATGCATGTATTATCGGCGTAACGAGATCATTTGTTTCCGCTGTATACAGATTATACAGTATTGGTGATAAGGGTGATTCTTGAGGAACTCCTGCCTCTATATTCTTTGTTCTTTTTTTGATGAGAAATATTTATCCAACTTCACTGTGAATTTACTATTTTGGAAGGAAACTTCCGATGATCTTAATTAAATCCAATGGAATATCTTTTTTTTGCAGTTTGACTATTAATCCGGCATGCCAGACTTTATCAAATGCTTTTTTTATGTCGAACATCACCATCCCTATGAATTTCTGTTGGCTCAGTGCTGTAGGATATTTTGTCCCATTCTTGCTAGTTGAAGCCTCTGCTTGATTTTTCTTTCCTTTTATGTAAATTTTGCCAAACTGAACTTCTATCTTTCAAGTGCATATTGTGTAGATTTCTTCTACTTTCTTATTGCCTACCGTAAATGCTTGCGGCTGGCTTTGCTATGTTCGTTGTTGTTGTTTCTGCGATGCACATTTTATTAATATTTAGCAAAGCAAATAACACTCAATAATAACGTAATAATAACTTAAGTTTATTAATATGGTAGTTTATACTGACATTTTTAGTTTTCATTAACTTAATAACAACTTGATTTTATTACTAGTTTTTTTCTTATTGTTGTGGCGAGATGATAATAGTCATCACAAGATCTGGATATATGCGAAAAATGGAAGCAGAAACATGCGAAGGCGTTGGCGTGATAACGTTGTCCATAAAAACTTCGGAAATTGGACATGTAAAGAACTGTAATACCAAAAAAATCCGCTTGGACTGTCTTGAAAGAAGAAGAAAGTCTTTTTTAAGAGTATGATGTATATGCGCATGAGTGAGAGTGATTCTATGTAGCAGAATATTTCAAGTTTTGAAAAGGTCATTGAACTTTCGGGAATTGGCAATAAATTGCAAAAAGAGTTATTTGTTATAATGATTTTAGCAAGTTTGTCACAAAGACACGAAAACTTTGTTGTTGCCTTAGAAAGACGAAATCAGCTTTAAAAGCTCAATGCTTTAAAAATAAAATTAAAGAACGTAAACGGCAAAAACATAACCAAATAGTTGAATCAGAAGGTACTGTACAAGTACACTGTTTGCTACATCAGGTCATAAATATTACAAGAAATGTTACAACAACAGAAACTTTAAATGTTACAAATGTGGGAAGAAAGGCCATCACGCTACAAAATGCAGATCAACAGAAATTTGTGAAAAAATTGAAAAAATTTTTGGAGAGTACTCAAAGTAATGTATTTATATATTTGGTGTCAGCGAAAATACGGTTCTTGATAAAAAAAGCTTGGTGCTTGAACAGTGGCGCAACTTTTAATTTGTGAGCGCATTGTGGAATGTGCCAAGATTTTGAGGTATGCCGTGAAAAAAATGCATGCATGTAATACATTTCTGAAAGGTGTAGACCATGGTAACGTAAGAATAAAAAGTTGCACGGGCGAACTTAACATATATTAAAAACCAAATAAAGCAATTATTTTTTTGTGAAGTATTAAACAACCTAATAAAATTAACAACGCAATTATTTTTTGATAACAATGTAAATGATGATCTAGTTCTGCGATATAGACGTTAAGGGCACTTAAACATTAATAGTTTAATCGAATTAAAAAATAAACAACTAGTGCTGGGCTTAAAATTTGATTCAGATCAAAAACATATAAACTGCACAGTGTGTCTTAAATGCAAATGCAACATTAAACCGTTTCAATCGTCTCAAAGTAAAACAAAAAATATCTTAGACTTAGTCCATAGTGATGTTTGTGGACCAATAAATGCTAATTCAATCGGAGGATCCAGATACTTTGTTACTTTTGTAGACGACAACTCGCGGTATACTTTTGTTTACTTAATAAGGCAAAAATCACAAGTTTTAAATGTTTTCAAATCATTTAAAAGCATGGTTGAATGACAAATAAGTAAAAAAATTAAAATGTTATGTAGTGATAATGGCACTGAATACGTAAATACAGAATTTAATAATTATTTGAATGAAAATGGTATTCTTAGACAATTGACTGTGCCTTATACTCCACAACAGAATGGCGTTGCAGAAATAGTCAACAGAGCTTTAGTAGAGATGCCACGCAGTATGATCTTAAATGCAGGTGTCAACGAGAAGTTCTGGAGTAAGGCAATTAACACTGAAGCATACTTAAAAATTGATCACTAACAAGAGCAATCAAAAACTTGACTTATTATGAAAGTTGCTGAAAAAGGACACATGTGATAAGTCATTTGCGAGTATTTGGTTGCTGAGAAAAAGAAATTTTGACCAAAGGACTGGTACAACAGCTGGTTATAATTTAAGACCAAGACCACAGTGTGATATTGTAAACTTAGTAACACCAGTCAAGATGTTAACTGATATAGTATCAAGAGGTATAAAGCACGATTGGTCGCTAAGGGTTGTAGTTAAAAATAC